TGTATTTACTTTAAACTTATCCAAACAATATAAACAATTTCATTTAAGTATTTAAATTATTTTGATTTAAAATATTAAAAAACTTTAATGACACAACTAATAAATAATTATAATTAAATAATTGATATATTAATAAAGTTAATATTTATTCAAATATAGATTATTAGATATTATTAATATAAATAATTAAATAGAAATATTTAAGTATTTAACGGAAATACTTAGTGATGTATCTTTTAATTATTATTTAAACTTTATACAGTAAATAAAGTATATTAACATATCAATTAAACTATTTAAATTTAAATATTAAAATTATGATTAATAATTTAATATCAACTTAATTTATAATTAGCATTAATAATTTTAAAAACAATTATATAAATGACATTACAAAATATATATTATTTTTATTAAATGACATTTGCTTTTCATATATTACATTTTTTATAATCTATTTCTTTACTAATAAAACATATTTTACAAATTACTATATTATATATATACTATATTTATATATATATTTTATATTAAGGTATATCATGACTATAATATCTTATGCGAGATATGTAATAAATGAAATTTATTTTTACTCTTACTTTAATTACTTATATAACTATTTCTTTAGTAATAGTTTATTTATTAAATAAATGCATTTAATTTTTTCATAATTTAAATTTATTTTATAAACTATTAACTTTTACTTATAACCTAAGGCTTGTAATTATATTTTTCTATATTAAATAAAATATAATTTTATAATATTTAAGTTATTATGTAACGGTCAAATTTTTTCTTAAATATATATTTTATCTATATAAATTTACTATAAAAGAGATATGAGGTTTTCAAAATAATAAAAAAATTGATGGAATTTTTTATTTCCCAAAAAAAAAGTAATTTTTTAAGTAGAGAAGTATGGTGGGACCCAAAATGCAAGAACAGCAGCCAAACGGGGGCAACTATGGGAAAAAAACAAAAAAAAAATCGCAGCTACTGACATGGAGAGGAAAAATTTAGAGAAATAAGTAAAGTGAAAATAAATAAATAAAAAATTAGGCCCCCAGGCCATTCCATGAGGATGAAGCTATGCGAAAAAGTGCATGTCTGTGATATCTATTCATTTTTTTCAAAACTGTGATGACTGCAGCGTACTTTTTAAATACTATGAATCGATCATTGAATCATAATTGAAATATGTCAAGTTATTTGAAAATCATTTATATTTGTGAACAAAACTATCAATCCAGATAATTTCAAGCTATATTCTGCATTTTATTTGTTAAAGAGAAAATCATAAAGCAAACTAATCTGACAGAAAATCTACTAAAGAGGGTATACAAAATAAGCATAGATTAGCCAGAAAGAGGAACTAACTAGATGGAGAAAAGAAGGTGAGCATGTAAGTGTAGGAATGACTAACCTTCACCGCACATTTTGATTCTTCTAAACTCGATAAGAAAGCATGAGTAAGGAAAGGATTAAGCTTTTCAGGTCCAGCTGCATCCATTGCACATGCATCCCAGTCCTTGGAAGAAATATCTGATAGGGATGAAACAACTGAAACAGAGAGTTGTTGGGGCCTCCTTCCTGGGCCTGATACATCCTGAATACACATAGGCCAAAACAAATCACATTTGCATGAGTTGATCCAATCAAACTGAAAATAGCCAGATGAAAGAAAGAAAAACGAAGCACCTCTCGGGCAGACCCTGTAAGAGTAAATGTCCCTAGCGATGGGTTCAGCTCTCGCTGCTCTGCAGTCCTCTTAGATCCCCAAAATAGTGCAGTTATCTTATGTGGAGACACCATACTTCGAGAACTTTGTTTGCAAGCAAAATTTTCCTGCATGTTAAGAAATATGAAGCAAGTGCACAATAAAAATCAGATCAAGTAAATTATGGCAATTTTTTTTTAAAAAGCCCTCATTGAAACATGAGTTATTTGGGAAAATTTTTTAAAAGAAATCACTACGGAAGAAGAAAGGATTCTTAATCTGTTAGAAAAATATTGAGGAATGAAAGGCTGGTAAATTGGGAAGGAAAATCTAAACCAAACAGAATATCAAAGTTCTTCCAAGAAATTATTTTGATACGTCACATTTATCTAATCAACTACAGACTTTCTCAAAGCAGTAAAGTATTTTGGCTAAAAGTTTAGAAATTGCTTTCAAAATCATCTGAACATCCTTTTTAGCAAACTTCTAAACAAAATACTCTAGTTTGACAAATAATCAAATTCAAAGGGTCAATTGTCCATTGAATTTTGTATATTTATAAGAAAAACATGCGACTCGACAAGAGAAAGCTAGTGAGTCCAGGATTACACAATTCATAAGCTCACTATGGCATTGAGATGTCCAAAAAACATCAAATGACAAGGGGTGCATTTATGAATCTTTCCATGAAGTGTCCTGACTTTTTGGTAGAAATGACAAAAATGCCCCATGTTTCTACACATTAAATGGAGGCCATTTGTTAGAGATAATTCCCAAACTAGGAGAATTCTCTAAAGTTCTCTCTGTTGTTACCCAACGCTAGCTATTGACCAATGTCAATGCCCACAATAGCCGGTGCCCAATGTCAACTAACTACGCATCCAACAACCACTAGCCATCGATGTTTGAGGTAAGCCTTAATGGTCAACCAATCTCCACTCCTATAAGTAGAACAATTAAGTTAATCATTGATCGTCGTTCCACACCTAGCAAGAGCATCCATCTTCCCCCCTCCTATAAGGAGAGTGATTAAGTGGACAGCCCGATGTCACCCGACCTCTAACATTTCTTGTCAGCTCACTCGAAACACCTACCAATGATCAATTATGATGTATGCACAACATCGACATCCGGCATTAATATTCCCAATCACCCAATCTTCCCTCATATAAAAAGAGAAACCAAGTTATTTGTTTGATATCACCCGACCTTTGATATTTCTCATTGACTGTTGCACAACACCTACCAATAGGTGATGCCTGATGCCCACCTTCTCAAGTTGCCTAGTCTCCCATTCTATAAAAAGAGCAACAATGCTGACTACCAGATATAATCCAACCTCTGACATTCCTCATTGACTGTTGCTTAATGTCTGCCAACAATCGACGTATAAAATCCATCAACCAAAACATCCACACGCCCATTGGCCTAATCACTAGGTCCCTCTTATTAGGAGGTTGGATAAGCCGACTGTAGACTATCGCCCAACTTATGGCATTCCTAATCAACTATCACTCGATGCCCGCCACCATTCAGTGTTATTTAGTTATCAACGTCTGGCGCCTATTGTACAAATTGATTGATTTCTCCTACTATCAAATAAACAACCAAATTAAGCACCCACCATCACCTGATAACAAGTCAAGCGCCTCAAGATTACTATTACCACCATCATAAATATCTTCCACGATTCAAGTTTCTAGAATTATATTAATGCTTGCTCCAATTACAAGGACAGGAGTCATTTGTAACCAAATTGATCAAACTCGTACTATTTTTTCAACTAAGCTAAGCATCATGATTTTTTTTTCATTTTTCAAATTTTTCACATAAAATTTTTCATGTCTCTTATGTGTTGCTCTTATCTATGAGTGCAGTATTTTTCGAATAGTGTTGATATGATTAACTCTCCATCCACCATCATAAATACTCTAGCACAAAACAATTTAGTGTAATTTGTGGAAAGTAACTCAAGATAGAGAGGCAACTCTGGCTGCAGCTTCAAAAGGATGTTAACATTAATGATCGGGAATAATCGTGGTGAAATAGCTCCTTTCCTCTATCATCCATTGACAGATCAAGGCAAACCCTTCACCTAATGCAGTGTCAAAAATAACAAGGTGGTTGTTCGTTGTACTGACAAAGTTGGCTTGAGGTTCTATCTAAATAGCAATCCTGAAGAAATGTCCATATTAATGTTTAGCAAATGGGTGTAGTTGAAAGGATCTAAACCAAACTATTTTTTTTTTCAAAGCATCCTATATAGAGGAGGAATACCACAAGAGACTTCCAAGAGAGCTTCATCTCTGCGGGTTTGAATTTGGGTATTTGGAAGGGTTTGAAAAGTTTGATATTTAAAATAGGAAATTTCACCACCTAGCACTTAAAGTGGATGGTGGGGGAATGGATGATGGACCCGATCAAGATCCCATGGTTCTGTCATCCTGGGCCATCATGGTCCCTGATCTACTTAGTCAGAGGAGGTAGTCGACCCAACCTGACAGAAGGATCCTTGTCGGCAGCCATGGGTTGTTTCGTCCAAGGGGACCTTGTAGACCTAGGTTAGATGTTTGTCTAAGGGGACAAATTTGAATCCACCTTAGCTAACAGAGGGCTTTGTGCCCTATCGATCATATCCTATTGATTCATATCTCAAGTATTTGATGTCAATAAGGAACGTAATGGCACTAGCCATAACCGGTATTTCGTGGTGCCATTTGGCAGCAAAACCACTCAGTTCAGAGGGCCCCGGGTCATAACTGTTTATCCTGCGATGCAATTTGGCGGCAAACCGCCGGTCAGAGGACACGTACCACATCCTTACTAGCAGGAGACTATTTTGAGAATGGATCCTAGTGATATTTTCGACTAGGCATTTGGCTCTTTGTGAGCTGAAGTTATATTTGAATTTGTCCACATCGGCAAACTGTTGCGGAGGGTGGATGGATTTTGCTTTGAGTGATTGATGGATTGATTTTTATTTTAAATATTTTTGGGATTTTGATTTTTTTTTTTTTTTTGATTTTGGACTTTGTGGAGCTTTGGAGTATTTGAAATGGACTTTGGATATTTGGGAGATATTTGAAAATATTTGGGAACCCCTTCGGTTGAGATCTGCATTCAACACGGCCATCATCGGGGTGCTCGGGATCATTTCTCTTTTGTTGATTAAATCTTATCAACTCTATCGAATTATCGATAGAGGATCAGATTTCGTAGGCTTTATGCCCTTTGATAGTGAATTCTATTGTTATAGGTCTTGAAGGCCTAATATGAATGTATTAAAACAAATATTCTGGTCGCCACGGCCTCATATTTGTTGTTTGGTTCGAACCTTGTCGACTCCTATTGATCCGTATAGGAAGATCGGGTTCGAACTAGAATTCACTTATTGACCCGCACAACATCCCTAGACGTCACGTGTGTATCAATAACATGCTCGTCGGGGCCCATGCGGGTGATTTTTATATACTCATTTAGTGTACCTATGTGTATACAGTTTATAGTGCACGGGTATTTTGAAAGTATTTATAGACGCCTTCTGTCCGCTAGTACGAGTGTTGCGGATTCGGTGGCGTGGCGTAGCAGCTTCTGAATCAGTTGTTCGCTGTTTTGTACAGGTATACTATCGTGCACTACTTGTTGCTTTCTGCAGGTGGATTATAGTGCACTAACAAATCTCCTGCTTTGGATCGTAGAAGCTTGTACTTATCGTATTCTACATGCATTTTGTTGTGGTCTTTGATTTTTTCAGTGCAACCGCTACTGCTGTAGGTAGATGTATTCTTTCATTTGTAGATTGAGGTTGACTACAGAATACTGCATTTACTAAAGTCTTTCTGCATCTACCCCTGGGTGGCATGTTATACATACATCTGTATTCGTTGAGAGATTGTATGTATTACAGATCTTCTATTCTTGATTGCATGAAGGTCGATTTGTGTGCTTGAATTTTGATGTTGATAGCTGACTGAGTTATACCCGCTAACTACTTCTTCGTGCGTATGAGCTAGAAATTTACTATACTTATAGCACCTCAATCTCCAAAACTTAAAAGAGATCGTAATATCTTGTTTACTAGACATTGCACTATTGTAGGTAGTAGATATGTTGCTACATTCATTATGTATGTCTTTCAGTACTTATGAGGACTATCACATGCATCCCTAAGATAACTGGCATTCGCTTGTAGGGTATTGCATTTGCAGTTCATTTTTCATCATCACTGTTTGCCAAGATTCGTAGAATCTACACATCCCACATATTAGTGTGGCATCTGTCGAGCTACATCCTTTATCAATGCTTGTGAGCAAGTTATATTAGCAAAATTATTGTCCACTACAAATTACTGTTTACTTGCATTTGATCTCTTTCCTTTGATGTTTCTTCTTGGAGATGGTGACTTGTTGGTGATAAAGATGTAGTAGCTTCCTTGTCTACCATGAACATATGTTTACATCTCAATGTTTTCTTGAATGTATTTGAGAATTTAAAGCTCTCATTTGATGTTTGCATCTTGATAATGTATCTCTTAATCAAGAGTCTAGTTCACATCATCTGTTCAAGCTTGCTTTAAGTTTGACTTTATATTCAAGACTTGGTTTGTTGAGGCTCAAGTTTGAGTTCAACTATTCAAGTCAAGTTTGAATGAAATTCTTTTAGTTGAGCTTTGATTCAAGTTCTCCTTGGTCAAGTTACAAGTCCCCATGATTGTTCAAATCATGGTCAAATGAGGTTCAAATTATAGCATATCCTTTTGTATTTTTCTTTTAGGTTCCAATTGAATTAAAGCTCTTTATATCATTTCGAAGTTCATAAGTCCCTTTCACTTGGTTCAAACCAAGTTCAAATGCATGTCCCCTGTTGTTCGAGTTCTTTGTCAGCTTCGGTCCACATTCAAGTTCACTTTCGTTTGTTCATGTGACAAGTCTAAGTCCTTGCTCAAATTGTTCAAGTCAAGTCCTTTGTAGCCTTTTGAGTTCAATCAAATTCAAGTCTTATGATTTCAAATTTATTTGAGTTCAAGTTTACTTAAGTCCATTTGGTTCAAGTCCGATCTCATAAGTCCACCGTTCAATTGAGTCCAAATCAGGTTCAAGTCAAGTCTCACATTCACCCGAAATTTCAG